TTCTTCGTAAACAAAAAAAGAAAAACAGATCTGGGGCTCCCCTCCACAACTTCAATTTGGGAGTGAATGGCATTTTCTTGAGTGCAGCTACTCCACTTCATGGACTCTGTAGCGCAGTTCGCTGTGGAGTGGGATCTGCACTCCATCTGCATACTTAATGCATTTTCATTTTATTTCATTGCTTTAGTTTTGACCAGGCCAACGGCAGGGGGACGAGGTCGCATCGTCTGGTCCTGGAGCTCATCCCCCTGCACTTGCACTTGGACTTGGCCCGGACCCGTATCCGTATCTGTATCTGTGGCTCCAGCTCTATCTGCATCCTTATCTGCCGCTCGCTCCAACTATTTGCTCTACGGCTTGTCTTGTGTTTGCTTACTTTCATTTGTGTACTTGTGTTTCATTCGGTTAAGTGCTTCCTTGATTGTTTTGCCCGCGCCTGCTCCATCTTCTTTATTTCGAGTAATTTCGGGACTGGGCCTGCAGTTTATGGCGAAGTTTTAAGCCACCCAGCGCCATCGAGCTAGTGCGAGTTCCCTGGGCCACTTGTTAACAACATTGTTGGGGATTACGTCCGGCTTTTGACACCAAATGCCCACCGGCGAGTCAATAAATATGTGCTGGCGTGCTGGCGTGCCCACGGACGGCGGCATCTGGGCTATATACATATAGTCGCCCGATTTGCATGGATTATCCGGAGTGTTTGTGTGTGCAGATCCTTTTCCCGCCGCCGGTGTTGTTGTTGCTATAGCACCACAGCCATTGACCATAAACATGCAGCCTTTATGCATACATTATTTTAATGAATTATTGATTTCGTTCGATTCCATAACTTGGACGGCTCGCAAAATCAGCGCAGCAGCAGGGAAATACTCTTATTTCGAGCGGTGGAACTGTGAACTATTTTAAAATATCTCGGATACTCTTCAAGAGTTTAAGCTACTAACTGACTAACTAGGAGTTTAAGGCCCAACACAGACTTAGGATAAATTTGCCAATCGGAAATGAAAAATAGTTGGTATAATAATGAATATTATGAGATGTTCAAAAATCACTACTTACAGCATTAACTTCCAATTCGATTAATATGCCAAAATGTTATGCATAGAGTATGTAGTAGGGTTAATGGATAACTACTGGCTCTGTTAATTTAAGATTAAATTTAAAATTTAGTTATTGTCATACTTGCTTGGGACTGATTTAAAAAAAAAAAAAAAAATAAATAAAAAAATGATTGAAAGGGTACTGTTCGGCCAAGTACTGTCCGATTTTATGCAAATCCGTTAATCATTTTTTATCGAGCATTGGCCTAAGCTTTATACCATAATGTCAGTAATAGCAGTTGGTTAGAAAACAGCGCATCGAGAGCTTAAAGCCAATCAAGTTGCCCTGTGCCAGTGTGCGTGTGTCCATTTCCATATAATTTATAATGCTTAATTTCCATTCAATCCATTTTGGCATTGTGCGGAGTATCTTACGCATTGATAACTGCTAGCTACCTTTGCTCTTTCTTCCTGCTCTCCACTTAAGTGAGGGGGTTTCCCTTTTCCCTTTTATTTCCTTTGTGCATTTGTGTGAATGCGTGTGTGCGAGTGTGCGAGTGTGCGGTGTGAGACTTCTGTGTGGTTTTTGTGGCCTAAAATAGCACTTTGTTGGCCCATCGAAAGGTTAGCCGGAGAGGACGCATTAATGGAAATAATGGCGTATCTATTCAATTATATCGAAGCCGTTGCTTCGCCTCCAGGATCTCCGCTTCGGGGTCAGGTACTCCCGATTCCGATTCCGATTCCGATCCCTCCGACGAACCCGAAAACCTCCCACCAGTGCGCCCTAATGGATGACAAAAGCACTTTTATGGACATTTTATGTTAGTGCATATTATTTATTATATTAAAAATCCATTAGTGATTTTTGAAACTTGTGGTCGCCGCCAGCCACATCTTTCATTTTCCCATTGATTCGCGTTTTCGGTTTCACTATGGTTTCACTATGGTTTGGTATGGTTTGGTTTGGTTTGGTTTGGTTTGGTTTGGTTTGGCTCTGCATACAGTTTTCATTTTCCATTTACATTTTGGCCCTTGTCGAGACCGGAGTGACGTCAATAAAATCGACTGTCGCCATATTGTGGCCACTAATTGCATTTTGGTTAAGCCTGGGATGGAGATGTGGCTTGGACTCTGTGCGGGATGCGAGTTGGGTCTGGATCTGGTGCTGCTTCTGGTGCTGGTGCTGGTACTGGTGCTGGTTCCGTTTTGCATCTCGCAGATAGCAGATAGCTGATAGCAGCTAGCCCGCTGCACTTGATTTAAGCCACCCAGACACGCCTACTCGCCCCACTTTTAAGCTCAAAGTAGTGGGGGGAGTGGCTGGATGACAACGACAAAGTCGCGCCATTAATGCATAAAGTGGCAGAGATAAGTGCGAAAGCTGGGGGCGTGGTGCCAGTTTTTATGGTGCCTCCCCGGAGCAGCCACTTCTTGAGATCCATCTAACTGTTGCAGGGATTAAAGTTGCTTGCATAATTTCGCGCGCATAATGAAGCCAACTGCAAAGACAAAAAGATGGCGCCCAACAAAAGCGAGAGGCCACGAAGGAAGGTCGCTCAGGAAGGAGCCAGCAAAACAATTAAAGCGCGGCTAGTTTCAATTTAAGACCAAAAATCCCAATCAATATGCGTTTCAACGAAAAACAACCATATTTCAGAGCTCGTTTAAAGGAGCTCAGTGTTCTGAGTAATTCATTTCATAACATTAGTTGGGAATAGATCGTCCACCCCTTTAAAACTCTAGACCTGTTTGAGTAATGCGCTGGATTACTCCTCACATTTGCCAGATCATCCGATGCAAATGCTCGGCCTCTGGGCTGCCCGTCGACTCCTTTGTCCTGTCACAATGGAAAAGAGGGCATTTCAAATCCAATTTACTTAGTCATCGCACTCAAAGGAGGTCGGAAAACGAGGAAACGGGTGGGTCAGTTCAATGGCCATTTGTATCCCGTTCCGGTTGGGTCGGTGTCTCTGTATCGGTCCGGTCTCAGTGCATTAAGCAGTTTATCACGTTAAAAAGATTGAATAGATGCCCTGCGATTCGGGCACAAAGGATAACTTTACTGGGACAATCCTCAGCTCACTTGGTCTGTTGGCGGCATGGGATCTTGACTCCAATGGCAGCAGGACAATAATCGATACACTCGTAAAGCGGAATCAAAACGGATCCGTCCTAATGTCTCCCATCTCCAGCCTGAGAAATGCGTTTTCCGAGAGAAACACTTGCCCCTTAAGTGGCCAAGTCGCCACAAACATGTTGTCACAATTGCCAGAGTGCCTCATAGAGAATTATTACACTTCAGAAACACCATAGTAGATGTACCAGGACACCATCAATGTACCATCTCGCTGTCAAATAAATAAATCAGCTACCGGATAAAGTACGCAGTGGCAATTGCCAAATACTCCAGCTCAAAAGTGCCCCAGATGTCTTCGAATCCAGCCAAGGCCCATTGCATTATTAGCTTTTCGCAAGTTTATTTATTTCTGGCAGGCAAAGCGGCGAGCCAAGCGCCATTTCCCCGCTTCCGAGCAATAAGACATATTTCACAGCCCCCCACCACGAGGATGTATCGTATCTATCTCTCCCACATGGGCCCGCGGCTAATTGAGTCATATGTCAGGTTGAAATCGGGAACCTAATGCCGCAGAGGAGCTGCAATGCAATTCGCATTGACTGCCAACCAGGGAGCAATCTGCTTCCTTGATTTTGAGTTTGAGTTGCCCGTTTGCCATAAAAAATGAATGCCTACCGCCTTCGCCTTCACCTTCACCTCTGGCGCTCCGGATCTCTGGGCTTCTGGATCTCTGGATCTCTGGGTTTCCGGGCTTCTGGGCTTCTGGGCTTCTGGGTTTCGGTTCCGGGGACTGAGTGGCAGGGGCGGGGCGTTCCTGGAGGTTTTTAATTGAAAACAAACAAGGTTAAGCCAACTCTGGATCTCCGGGCCACCTTTGACCCACAGCCACCTCGCAGATTGTTTGCATGCGTGTCGCTGACGTTGACAGTTCCGAGCACTCGGATTTCGGGGAGCTGCCAGATCGAGGGGTTAACTTCTGGGGTTACTCCTGGGGGCGGCGTATCTGCAGACAGTGGCAGCCTGCGGGCTGCCCAAAGTGGCCATCGAAAGTGAAATGTGAGCTGCGCACTCCACTGCCAAGGCGGCTTAGTTTCGGGCGGGAGGGGCTCCGGAGGTTCCGGAGCGGAGCGGAGCATAAAAGTGAAAAACAATTGAACCCTTGGGCGAAATTGGTTTTGACAATGTAAATAAATAAAACACAAGCATAAATATTTACTGCTGACGGCAGTTTCGTTAAGGGCTTAGGCTGCCAGTGCTTCTGGGGGTTTCGGAAATGAGAGGCGAAGCCGGCGTAAGCACGGGGATTACAGGGGCTCAGTGAAGTAAATTTTCGAATGGGTTTCGGCCGGAGTCCGGGGCGGGGCGGGGCGGGGCGGTGCTGTTGTCGAAAGGATTTGCAGCTCATTTCATCCCCAGGACCCATCAGCCGAACCCTTTGGCCTTGCCAACCCGAGTGCTAATATTTGATTGTGTTGTCGGGTCAATGGGCAACGCAAATTCAAAACTCAACTGGGCAAGGGCAGAATGCTTCGAGGTCTTGGCATTTATGCAGCTCCATATTCTATACTCCGATTAGACAGCTGCCAGAGTTACCTGCTCCTTGCAGGATGTCGGAGGGGCTTGGTGGGGCTCAGCTCCTTTGTTGCCGCACAGATCAGCTCCCATTTAGCCAACATTAGTCTCCAATTTGTGTGTAGTTATGGCTCGACCAGTTACGACCCAATTCCTTTAGCAAAGGTGCCAAACCGGGTCGCCTTTGGTCGGTATTACTTCGATATAGACACATTTACGAGAATGGTACGAGAATGCAATTAATGCAGACCAATTGCCAGATGGACTTGCAACTTCCATTTCCCCCTTTCAATTGTGCAAATGGTATGTTCGTTGACTAGCTTCTGTTATTTAAGAACTAGATGAACAAGATTGCACTAGATAAACAATGCAAATATTACATAGAAGTCCCAAAAAGTGCATCAATTTAAACCTGTCCATATCCACATGGTACATTCTTTGAAGATTTATATGCAACATTCTCAACAGTAAGTGTGCAACTCAGATCCCAGTGTTTTATACACCAAAGTTGACCTGGCACAACCATTACTAGACGTGGTTCAAAGAGGACTCCTGACGAAACGTAAGTAGGTCCCATTGTGGGCAGTTAGCACAAAGGACTTGGGATCGAACCGCATTTGCGGCAGGCTCCTCTCGCAGAGCTCCACCCGGAAGTGCCTCAAGATGTGCAGCAGTCCAACCTTTATCTCCAGCTGCCCCAGAAGCGTCCCAATGCAACCCCTTGGTCCCGCGCCGAAGGGCAAGTACGTCATGGGATGGTGCTGTTGCCGCTGCTCGGCCGAGAAGCGCTCCGGGTCAAAGACTTCCGGGCTGGGCCAGTACTGTGCATCTCGATGGAGTCCCAGTACCGATATGTAGACAGGCGTGCCTGCACGCAGTGTGAACGGCGATCCGCCGTTCCAGGGTGAGAGGTCATAGCCCGCCGAGGAATTGCAGCATCTGTCCAGGAACGCCGTGGGCGGATAAAGCCGCAAGACTTCATCGACCACCTGTCGCAGGTATGGCAATCCGGAGACGCTGTCGCAGCCCAGCTGCCGATCCTGGCTAGAGTGCAGCGCAGATCGGAGCTCCGTCCGCAGGCGGTGCTGAATGGTGGCGTTCTTGGCCAGCTCGTAGAGGGCAAAGGTTATGGTGGACGAGGAGGTGTCGAAGCCAGCCAAGAGCAGAAAAGCAGCCTGGGCTGCGAAGAAATCCGGCCGATGGATTATGCTGTCCGCCGACTCCGTACGCTGCAGCTGCAGGAATATATCGATTAGGTCGTGGCGCTTCTCGCCACTTGTGGCGCGTTGGGTCAGCACATAGTCCATGGACTTGCGCATGAACCGCTCGTACTCCTCGGAGTACAGATGGGTGCGCACCCGGTGCGCCAGGCGCGGAAAGAAGAACATTGTGAAGAGGTGCAGCAGGCGCTTTGGCCTGGGGTCGTTGACCTCGATGCACATGCGGCGGAACTCGGCCTCGGGATTCTGCAAGCTGCGCGCCTCTATGCCAAAGGCCAGTGATGCAATGATGTCCGTGGTGAAGAGAGCGCACAACTGCTTGACCTCCAGCTCCATGCTGTCCCTGCCACCCAGCTGCCGTTCCATGTGCTCCTCCAGCCGCTGTCCAATGTGCTCCAGAAGCCCGTACATCTGGCGCACCTTTCCGGCAGCGAAGAAGGGCGCAAAGAGCTTGTGCGTCTGCCGCCAAGTCTCGTACTTGGAAAAGAAGAGGTTCTGCGAGCCCATCGTGTCACGAGTGGAGTCCGTGGTCTCAAAGCGGCTCGAGAACTGGGCAAAGTCTTCCACCATGACGCGCTTGATCAGAGCCGGATCTCGGAGGAGCAGTGCGTGGTTGTGCAGCACGTGGATGCCCACGAAGGCGCGCCCGGCAGCCTCCTTGCTCTCGTACAACTCGCGAAACTGATCGCCGAAGCAGCAGGCTCCGCGCAAGAGGCGCCACACATTCCCCACAAATGGAGCAGCCGGAACACAGGGCACGCCCAGCCGTCGCCAGTGCCCGAAGTGCCGATGTTGCCACAGCCAGGCGATTCCCAAAACAAGGAGACATCCACCGCCAACGGCGGTGACAGCAAGTAGACATCCAACTCCAAGGGCAGCCGCAAAAAGTGCAAAAACTACGATAATCATGGTTACTTGACGGGTGGCTGACCACAACTGCAGCCACGGTGTGTGCAAGGTGACTATATGTATGCAGCAGCTTGATTGATTATTTATCGCTATCTAATCGCGTATCTTATCTTGGGCGGCTATTTAAAGGTAGCCGCTTAGGTTCGTCGCCGTGACAAGACCTAAGTAATACCATCGCACCTGTACAAGTTCCTCGACATGTTCCTCTAAATATACTCAGTACACAGCCTAAAAATAGTACAAGAAGTAGACAAGAGTAAGGCAATGTGGTAAGTCTACTAGATTGAAGAAAGCATTTATTACCATGAACATAAACGAGTATTTCGCATTTCATCCTAACCGAGACTCCAATTCAAGCTGTCCGTTCGCGTGTCCGTCCGTATGAACGTCGGGGCTTCACACATTTTAAGCGCTAAGGTCTTGAATACTAATAAAATTACTCATTTCAATAACAGACCCTAGATATGAATTAAATCACAATTCAGACTGCCAATGTAAGTGTGTTAAATAACCTATTTTTGATAGGGCTACTGGGTACTGAATAGTCGAGCTACTAGCGTTGCCAATTTTGTACTTAGCACCTTCACGAAATCATAGAAATCTTCCCAGCACCTGAGCGTCGGTAGCAAATGAAACAACATTGGTAATTAGCCACTTGCGAGTCAATTGAAAGGCGACTTCAACAAAAGCGCTACCCATCCACCCATCCGAATGGTCGACATCTTGGGGCGTGGAGGCTGGGGAGCGGCCTGGAGCTGCATTAATTTTACATTACTATTATCACATGAGTGGGGGCGACTGCTCGGCGACTCGGCCATAATAATTTTCCGCGTAATTTATTTGAGCGCCATAATATCATATTTCACGCTGGGCGCGGGGAAATGGGAGTTTTTGGAGCGACTTCCGTTGAATAATTTAAGCGCGCACATGTGCGCATCGGGGTGCCCCCATTGGGGGCACGGTGTGGGGCACGTTAAAATAGGCGGAAGACGATTATCAGACAGTTTGCACACAATGTCGTCGGTGGCGCAGCGGCTGCCAGGATACTGGAGTGCCGGAGTCCTGGAGCCCTGAAGTCCTGGAGTGCTCGATCCTGAATCCAGTACCCAGTATCCAGAAACCCGAAAGCGGTTCGCATTTATTGCCAAAATTAAATGACAATGTATGTATGTATGCAGCTCCAAGTTTGTTGTAACCGGAGATAGATGTGGATGGGAAAGGGAAAAGGAAAAGGGAAAGGGGCAGATAACTCCGCTTTCTCCAGCGCATGCATGCATACATACGCGTCGGAGTTTTTGGTGGGGCCAAGTAATTTTTCATCGAGTTTTACACAATTTTGGGCGCGCTTTCCTCGAGCTCCAGTTTCTCCGCGTGGCATCAGTCCAAGTGTAAAGGAATTTTAACGCTCACTGACGCAGTTCTGGCAGATTGTTTGGTTTAACTGTGGCGCCAAGTGCCACCCACTCTGCCACCAAAGCGGGCGCAAGGATGGTGGGCGGTGGTGCAGGTGGTGCGGCCGCTTTTGTTGAACTTTTGCGTAAGATTGCGCAGTAAATTGTCGAAAATTAATTTTCATGTTGAAAAGCTGCAAATTGCAGAGAAAGCGGCAAGAAAGAGATATGGCGGTGGGTTGGCTGCCTGCGTGGGTGGTTGGGTGGTTGGGTGGTTGGGTGGTTCGTACGTGTGGTGGGCGGGCGTTGAGTGGTTGGCGAAAAACTCAAGAATAAGGTTTGTCAATTAATTTCTTGAATGGTTTGCCTAATTGAAATTTTATGGCTTTTGTGTTTCCTTGTCTGCTTTCGCCAGCACACACACGCACTCGATGGAGGTGGGCGGTGGGCGGTGGGCGGTGGCTGGTGGGTGGTGGGTAGTGGGCGTGGCATGCCTCCGACAACAATTCATTAGGCTTTTTGCGATTCTGAGTGGGCGATAACGTTTAAGGATCACAAGAGTTTTAACAATTTGGGGATTTTTAACCGAAAAAAGAAGAGATGGATCATTTTAGGCATGTGCCACGACCATCTGATACCTGATACTCTTGCCTTTATTATACTTTGATATACAAATCAGTCAGCGTTCAAAATTTGGCCAATTTGAGATACTGGGGCTGATTACGCCGGCCGTGAATTTAATTTGGCCGGAAAGTATGCAACACTTATTTGTTGAGAAACGAAAGATAACACTGTCGAGTAACTGACTATCAGATACCTGTTACTCAACTAAAGGTAGGGAGGTGGATACTACGAAAGGCGCCAGCTTGCACTGATAAGAGAAATAATAAAATTTATGATAAACAAATGGAAACATTTATCACAATTGTGGTCGCGATGGTTTTGGGTGGGTTTCCAGATGATACGACTAGTGATTCACTTTGGAAACTTTTTTTGTAATGATGTACTGAAATTAAGAATTTTTAAGCAAGCCCACAAGCCATAGGAAGAATATATTTCTAAATTAAACTGTGTCAGTTTTGTCATTTGTCGAACTTTTACCACCCGCACGATGATACGAGTATATCACGAAATACCTCTGTGACACTTTAATACATAACTCAACTTACCACATATCTTTTTGCAGTGTAATTTTGTAAAATTATTTTAAATTTGTTTAGAATGTGTGGACGCTGTGCACTTTTTGCTGTCCAATAGTGTCCTGACACATAGTATTCATTTCAATTCACTGAACTTTTATTTATAATTACGCAAACAGAATAACAAACAAAAAACGCTCACTAACGCCATGTAGTGTCGTTGTCAAATTTGAGGAGCTCGGAAAACTCATATCAAAAATCCCAGCTTGCTGTGTAATTCAATTAGAGTTCATTAAAATGATTACATAATAAATTATTACCAATGACTGACTGCGGTATGTCCATTTCCCTCCTCCATTTGATTTAGACCGCGGTTCGTCGGGGATTTGGGATCATCGGGGAAAGCATATGGCTGTTCCACGGATGATTTACTTTTAATTAGATTAAGCACAGTGTTATGAAATAAATGCACTCTTAACGGCTGATAATGTGCACGGACATTTGGAGCCGTCTGATTTTCGCATATGGTTTTTGGCAAATTTAAATATACGAGTATGTGTCAAATTGCAAATAAATTGTATTAATAATAATTGTCGATTTCTTTTGCCTTGGCTTATACATAAATAATACACATAAATATATAACGTGGTTTGACCCTGCTAACCTGAGTTTTCATGCAAATGGAATTATAAAATGGATACGATCTTTCCGCCCGCTTGTTTTCCCTGGATTTTGGGTATTCGCTGAAGCAAAATGAGTCACCAAGTCACCATTTTAGAGGTTTAGAGGGATTACGATAATGCAGGTAGTTGAATGTAAGTAGAGCTTTTGTTTATACCCCTCTCTCGTAAGGTAATAGGGTACACTTTAAGCCCTAATAAGAATAACGGGCAAAAGGATTCGATTTCCACACATCACTGTATATCAGGACCAATGGAGGAATTTATCTGTCTGCCGATCGTCTGTCCTTTTGCGTGTCCGTATGAACGCAATGATTTTGGAACCCATAGGTGCTGGAATCTTGGGCCTAAGTGAGTTTCCTACTAGACATTAGTTCAAGCATTCCAATTCTGCGCCATTCCTATCCCTAATACTTGCAACGCAGCTCAGCTTTAACCAAAAACAAGAGAGAACGCTCGAATTGCTTGACTATCAGATACCCGTTACTTACCTAGTAGGAGTGCAAGAAGTTCAACCATCTTTTTGGCATATCGATAAAAATTGGCGAGAAACATAATAAAATGTAAAAAATAAAAAAAAATTCTAAAGTGTGGGCGTGGCAACATGGGTCGATCAACTTGCGCTGCGTCTATGTCTCTGGAATCGCATACTCTAGCTTTTGTGGTTCCCGAGATCTCGAAGTTCATACGGACGGACAGACGGACATGGCCAGATTGAATCACTTTATAAGGGCGGAGCGCTTCCTTCTCCATGATACATACTCTTCAGCGAGTCTGGTACACCCATTACATTACATCCAGTCCTCAGCCTTGACAACACTGAAAACACTGACGTGGGGGACACGTGGATGTGCCGACAAAAGGTGGAAGCCGAAAGGCTGGCGCTCTGGAGCCCTGCATTCAATAGCCCGTTGGGCTTCCCTTTAATTTTCCCAGGTGATCCCAGCCCGTCCGAACTTAAAGGTGACACGACGAGCCTGCGACGCGTTTGCTCGCGTTTTGTTAATTACAATTATGATAATGAATCTTACAAAGGCTAATTAGTATGGTAAAAATTGCGACGCCACAAGGGCGTCGAGTTTAAGAGAGTGCTGCACCATGCTGGGCAGAGTTTTCCGCTTTTTCCTTCAAGTGCTGCACTCTTGCGGTGTCCTTGTTTTCCACGGATAAAGAATTTGCGACACACGCAGTGTTGCATAACATTAAAGCACGCGTTTGCATTTGAGTAAGCAACTTAACGTGCTTTGTGCGTATAATGGTATGATTCGGGAAAAGTAATTTCACTAATATTAGCACAAACAATTGTGTGTTTTTCTGCGCTGAATTGGCTGGTTGCTGGCTGCATTTCAGTTTGCTGCTAATGAAGCATTATTTAAATCAAAATCGCAACCACGATTGTGTTAACATTTCGGTTGCACCCTGTTTGCCGTCCACATGCAGACATCAATGGCATTACAATTACAAAAATATTAAGTGATGGCGAAAGAGGCGTCAGCTATTCATTTAATTATGAAATTTACAAATGTCACACGAGCGTATTTCAATGTGCATTTGCGGTCTGTCCGGTGTAATTGATATTAATTTTAGACATTTGCACATTTATTTAACTATAATTGGGGGAAACAGCTCAGAGCACGCAGAGGTGCATGTTTTTTGCACAAAGGCAACGTTTTTCAGTTATTCCATTTCGCAGGCTTCTGAAAAGTCGGCTAGAGAGACATGGCAGAATATTGGAGGCTGGAAGGACAAAAAAGTGTACCGTGCCACTACTGAACTTGCATCTCCATTTGGCCAATTAAGTCGT